AATATAATAATAATCTGGGCGGCATGCGTATGGGCCCAATTTTAATTGCTGTACAACCATGGTGTAACTGCACTCACCATCCGTTTCATTCTCTTTGAAACCTTTTACTTCAGTGCTGTATTCCTTAAGATACGGTGGCAGGGAATTCTGACAGCAGGACTTCCCATCACAATCACTGTTTTTAAGCTCCATTTTCCCGATATCATCCACCTTGAAGTCCTCGTCGCAGATGGACACACAACCACTGCCTTCTGACCCATTCACCTGCAAAAAAGTAATTATATTGCAACCTACGGCCACAAATTTGTTGTGCTCCTGCGAATACACGAAAGGACTTCCTTCCAGCGACTGCTTCACCGGCCTAGAATCTTTGCTTCCGCAGTTGTTACGGTCAATGGGATTGTTGATATTAACTATGCCATGTTGGACATCAATGAATCTCACCTGCACTCCTATTGACTTGAGGTAAGGTGTTTGATACGTGGAAGTGTTTCTGCATTCTATTTCAAACCATTTCCCTGCGTAGCATTCTGAATCATTCATTCCAAATGGAAATGGAATTTGAATATCTCCACACTGCGAATCACAGCCAGGCTTTGCTACTTGTGGGTAATCTTGTGCAGATACCTGTACATGTATAAACCATATTACCAAAATGATGAAATGGATTACCAATTTCAGAATCATCGTGGTTTGTTGGCTGCTTCAAGATTCAAGATGTGTGTGCAGGCTTCCAACTTCTACCAAGATGGGTATTTATATTACTATATATGATTTTCACATCATTGCCTAATTTTTAACCAATAATTTCGTGGTTTCTTCTCAATGACTCACTGCTGGGCGTTGCTAGTTAGTCTTACTCATTTGAATTCTTGTGCCACTCTTCCACGCGTTTGAATAAGAGTTCTAACCATGAGGCAAGCTATTTTGACAACCCTATTAATAAGATAGAAACATAAACAGTGAGGTTGACAAAAACCAAAATTAGAAAGAAAAATGGCCAGGATAAATGTCAACTTACAAACTATTCCATTATATGTTATTGTTTTAAATACAAAAATCATTTTATTTAATTGTTTGATTAAACTTTTTATTTTATGAGGTTCTTGTTAAATCAAATATTTTTATTAGGATAGAATTTATGATATTAATTGAAAATTAACTTTTCATTTATTAATATATTTTTATAAATTATGCACGTGTATCATCGATAACCTGACTTAATTTGAGAATTTGTAATAGGTAATATTAGATTGTGAATGTTGTTATCTAAGAACAAAATATAAAAAAAATAATCTATTGATTGTCAATTTGCATTCTAGAGTATTTGAAGTCGTCTTGGAAAATAATCATACAGATTGGTTTAGTCCAAAATCTACGTTGAATTTTATATTCAAAGTATAACCTCTGAAACGGGCAAAACTGTCCCTTCAAATCCCAGCTTCCTGGAAAGATCTTCAGAGCATCTAATTTGACTTTTCAAAAGCGGAGTAAATACAAATCAATTTTATAAAATAAGAAATAACTCACTTATATAATATAAATTAATGTTATTTTTAATTCATATAAATCTCCGTACATCTTTTTATATATAAAAATAAATTTATTTTTATTTGAAGTGAATTTCCCATAAGTATTTTGTTATAGTCTAACTTTACTCAATTTTTTTAATTTTCTAAGAAATTATAATTTAACATCTTAAAAAACTCACTTTAATAACCTTATTTTTATTATATACATATATTCATTAAATTAAATAATAAAAAAATTAAAATATGTTGATACAATTAATTGTTACGTAATTAATTTTACAAAATATTAAAGTCTCTTTGTTTAAGTTAGACGAGACAAATGTTTGATGATGGGAAAGTTCTTAATTTTCAAAACTTAATAGTATTCTTTTGTTAGAAATTTATGTCCTTATTTTTTATTAAAATGTTAATTGGCTTTCTTTATAAGTTTTTCCTAAATTATTGCGAGAAGTTAACAAGCTTGATCTCGTAACCAGTTTGATAACTTGAATTATTAATTTAAATTGAAAAATATTTAAAATTTATTAAATATGTATGAGAATATTTTCTTATTATATAAAACAAATGTCCCTAAAAATCAATTTCATGTGGATAAATTATGTTTGATCTTAAAAGTTTGTGAGTCAACTATAATTATGAATTATGTAACTAAACGGTTGATGGTATGAAAAATAAAATAAAAACTTGAAATGAAAGAAAAATTTGTAAGAGTTGAGTCATTGACATAACTCTAATAAAAGAATTTGGGGGTGAGAGGAATGAAAGAGAAATGACATATTTGAGAGGAATGACATATTTGTATGAAAAATTTCTCTAAAAATAAAAAAATTTGCCTTTCTAAAGAGTTGAGTCATTGACATATTTCCTTCAGACAAAGGTTCATTCAAGATCTCTTCAATTTCACCATCTTCAGTAACCTCTCTAATTTCATCATCTGCATATCTGCATAGGTTGAATCATCATCTCTAAAAAAACCCTTCAGGCCAATTACCAATTCTTTTGGATGTCATTATGCTTGTGAAAATTAGATAAAATTATATACGACAA